CAGGGCTCTCCCTCAGCCCTGTCCCAGATTTGGGGCATTTGGGTGCCAGGAGCCGCGGCCCCGCTGGCCCCGCTGCCTCGGGGCTCAGGGCATGCGAGTGACCCATTTCTGTCACCCTGCTGAGGGCTCTGGGCAAGCAGGGCCCGGGGCCAAGGAGCTGCCAGGGCCCCACGAACCTCCCAGGGCTCGCTGACAGCATGAAGGGAGCCGGGGGTTCCTGGTGTTTGTGGTGGGAAAAGGGTGGGAAATGGGGCCTGGGCCTGCCTGAGGCACCGCGGCCGCCGGGAGCGGCGTTGGCTCAGACGGACCCCAGAGCAAACCCAGGAACGGGGAACAGATCCAGAGAAAGCCAGAGCAACCCCAGAGCAAACCCAGGAATGGGGAACAGATCCAGGAACCCCAGAGCAGCCCAGGAACAGAGAACAGATCCAGAGAAAGCCAGAGCAACCCCAGAGCAAACCCAGGAATGGGGAACAGCTCCAGGAACCCCAGAGCAGCCCCACAGGGAAAGCCAGAGCAGCCCAGGAACGGGGAACAGGTCCAGGAACCCCAGAGCAGCCCAGGAACGGGGAACAGATCCAGAGAAAGCCAGAGCAACCCCAGAGCAAACCCAGGAATGGGGAACAGCTCCAGGAACCCCAGAGCACCCCAAAAACGGGGAACAGGTCCAGGAACCCCAGAGCAGCTCCACAGGGAAACCCAGAGCAGCCCAGGAACGGGGAACAGATCCAGAGAAAGCCAGAGCAACCCCAGAGCAAACCCAGGAATGGGGAACAGCTCCAGGAACCCCAGAGCAGCCCCACAGGGAACCCCAGAAACGGGGAACAGATCCAAGAACCCCAGAGCAACCCCACAGGGAACCCCAGAGCAACACCAGGAACGGGGAACAGGTCTAGGGAACTCCACAGGAACCCCACAGGGAACCCCAGAGCAAACCCAGGAATGGGGAACAGGTCCAGGAACCCCAGAGCAACCCCACAGGGAACCCCAGAGCACCCGAGGAATGGGGAACAGATCCAGGAACCCCACAGGAAACCCCAGAGCAACCTCAGAGCAAACCCAGGAATGGAGAACAGATCCAGGAACCCCAGAGCAGCCCCACAGGGAAAGCCAGAGCAACCCTAGGAATGGGGAACAGCTCCAGGGAAAGCCAGAGCACCCCAGGAATGGGGAACAGATCCAGGGAACCCCAGAGCACCCCAGGAATGGGGAACAGATCCAAGAACCCCAGAGCAACCCCAGAGCACCCCAGGAGCAGGGAAACAGATCCAGGAACCCTAGAGCAAACTCAGAGCACCCCAAAAACAGGGAACAGATCCAGAAACCCCAAACCAACCCCTAGGGGAAGCTCAGGGGACCCTTCCCAGCAGGCACAAAGGGGAAGCAAAACCCCCTGAGTGAAAATTGTCTTTTCCTGTAAGAATAACACCCAGGAATGGGGAACCCTTTATAGGGAACTCAACAGAAAGGTGCCCACTTTGAGACTGGGATCCTGATGGGGCTTGTGGGGCCACGGTTCTGTGGTGTCTGGGAAGGGAGTTTGGGGTTGGCTCTGCAGGATTTGGGGAAGGGAGTTTGGTTGGGGCTTGATTTTGTAGCAGCTGGGGAACGGAGTTTGGAGTTGGTTCTGCAGGATTTGGGGGAGTTTAGGGTTGGTTGTACAGTGTCTGGGGAAGGGAGTTTGGGGTTTTTCAGTAGGATTTGGGAAGGGAGTTTGGAGTTGATTTTGCAGTGTCTGGGGAAGGGAGTTTGTGGTTGGCTCTGCACCATTTGGAGAAGGGAGTTAAGGATTGGTTCTGCACATTTGGGGGAGTTTGGGGTTGGTTCTGCTGGATTTGGGGAAGAGAATTTGGGGTTGGTTCTGCTGGATTTGGGGAAGAGAATTTGGGGTTGGTTCTGCTGGATTTGGGGAAGGGAGTTTGAGGTTGGCCCCCAAGGTGTGGGAGCCCTTTTGTAAGCGCAGCTCCTGCTCTGAGCTGAGCAGCTCGGGAATCTGATGGAAGGGGGGGGCGTTTCCCCCAGTCCTGATTTTTGCTCCATTTTTTCCCATTGCTGTGAAATTCAATCGTGTTTTGGAGCTCTTGAGGCCTCCCAAAGCCCAGCAGCTGCCTTCTCATCTGGCCTGAAAGCTTATCCTCGTGAACCCCAAACAGAACAAGCCTGAGAGCCCTCTGTGGTGAAATGGAGCAAACCCAGCCCACGAGACAGCTTGGGCAGCTCTTTTTACCCTGCAGAAATATTTCCACCAAAAAACACTGGGAAAACCCTTTTTACCGTGCAAAAATGAGATTTCCACTGATGAAACACTTGGGAAACCCTTTTTACCCTGCAGAAATGGGATTGCCCCTGATGAAACACTTGGGAATATCTTTTTTACCCTGCAGAGATTTCCCCTGATGAAACACTTGGTAAACCTTTTTTACCCTGCAGAAAGGGTGTTTCCCCCGATAAAACAATTGGGAATCTCTTCTTACCCTACAGAAATGAGATTTCCCATGATAAAACACTTGAGAAACCCTTTATACCCTGCAGAAATGGGATTGCTCCCCATAAAACACTCGGGAAACCCTTTTTACCCTGCAGAAGGAGATTTCCCCCAGTAAAATACACCAGGGCTGCCACACGCCTAGGAGCACATCCCATAAATTGGGGGTTGTGTGGGTGACCCCAAATCCTGGGTAAATCTCCGTTCTGGGGTTGAGCAGCAGGAATTACAAAACCTCCTCTGGAGCCTTGCCAGTGAAGCAGCAGAGCTGAGCCCAGCTGTGCCCTGGAGTTTAGGCTGGGTTTATTTTAATGCAGAGGCTGCAGCACCGTTCTGGGCTGGCTGCAGAGCTCTTGAGGATGCCTTGGGAAGGCTGAGCTAGAACAGAGACTGGACAGAGCTAAGGAATGAAGTAGGGATTTATTGAAAGGATCTCCTCATGGATCCACCTTGGGCAGTGCAAGAGCCCAGCCAGGGCTGCAACCAAAATGAACCAAAATGGCCCCAGAATGAACCCAAGGTGAACCAAAAGGGCACAAAATGAACCCAAGATGAACCCCAAATGGTCCCAAAATGCACGGCTGGTCACAGGGTCTCTCACTTGTATCAGTTCTGCTCCATTTGCAGGTTGGAGTGAATTGTCCAGTTCCAGCTTTAGCCCATGCAGTCCCATCCTCTTTTTCTCTCTTTCCCATCCTGTTTTTCTCTCTTCAGCCCACGGTGTTTGTGCTCCTGGGCCTGAGATTTGGATCATTTGTCCTTGGTCCCAGCTGGAGCAGGAATTGTTTTGTCTCCCTGCTCTGTGCAGAGAGCTCGCCATGCCCTGATGGGAACCCAGACCCACACGCTAGAGCAGCTCAGAATGTGAAAATAGAAAAGCCAAACCTGAGATATCAGCACAGAATGTGAAAAACAGAAAAGCTAAAACCTGAGATATCAGCACAGAATCTGAAAAAAATAGAAAATCTAAACGTGAGGCATCAGGGCAGTGTTTTGGGGCTCGTGCCAGCACCGAGCTTGGTGCAATTCCATGAGCACTGAGGCTGGAAAAGCTGGAGAAGCTTTTAAGGGCTGTTATCCCGAGGAGTCTCCATCTCTTTCCTGGGAGCTGGTGGCTGCTCTCCCAGCTTCCGAGGGACAGAGCTGTGCTGTGACTCAGCTTTACAGGAGCACTGCTTTAAGCCACGCTGATCCCGACTGCTCCGGGGTTTGTTTGCCTGTTGTCCTTACTTCCCATCCCTAAAATAAAGCCCAGACCCACACACTAAAGCAGAACAGAACCTGAAAAATATAAAATCTAATCCTGAGGCAGGGCAGGGCTCAGCAGGGCTCTGGGAGGAGCCAACCCCGAACTCCCTGCGGGCGGGTCTGTCTCTCGAGCTTGTCCAACACCGCGAGCACGATGCTAATCTGGCCATTTATCCCTCCTAACAGTGCCGCTATTATGGCGCTTAATCCTGCGGCAGAATTCCCAGCCTGGCAGATAACAGGGACGGCCAGGTGGCAGCGGGGCATCTCCCGGGGATGGACCTGGGGACACACAAACCCCACCGTGGGTATGGGCCCCTCGGTTTGGGCAGGACCTTGAGAGCTTGAGCACATGGGGCTGGATTGGGCTCCATGATCTTGGAGGTCTCTTCCAACCTGGTCATTCTGTGATCCCCTGTCCATTCCCGGGCTGGGAGCAGCATCCACCCGACATCCTGGTGGGGACGGGGCTGGGCTTTGGGGCCAGCAGGGAGAGGAAGTGAGGAGGGACAGTGGGGACTCACCTCCACACGCTGGGGTGAAGGACCTACCCTGGCCCAGGAGCAGCTCGAGCCTGGCTTTGGCTTTGGCCAGAAGGTGCTGCTGGCAGGTAGGGCAGGCACAGCTCAGGTGTGACCTGTGGGGATTTTCTTGCCCCCAGGTGTAGTGGGCATTGCTGTCACCCGCAGGGTGTTCTCTGTCCCCCCAGGTGTGGCTAGCAGACCATTCCCGGGCTGGGAGCAGCATCCACCCGACATCCTGGTGGGGACGGGGCTGGGCTTTGGGGCCAGCAGGGAGAGGAAGTGAGGAGGGACAGTGGGGACTCACCTCCACACGCTGGGGTGAAGGACCTACCCTGGCCCAGGAGCAGCTCGAGCCTGGCTTTGGCTTTGGCCAGAAGGTGCTGCTGGCAGGTGTGACAGGTGGAGTTCAGGTGTGACCCGTGGGGCCTTTCCTGTCCCCCGGGTGTGCCAGGCATTGCTCAGGTGTCACCCACAGGGTGCTCTCTGTCCCCTAGGTGTGCCAGGCATTGCTCAGGTGTCACTCATGGGGTGTTTGTGTGCCAGGCATTGCTCAGGTGTCACCCACGGGGTGTTCCCTGTCCCCCAGGTGTGCCAGGCATTGCCCAGGTGTCACCCACGGGGTGTTCCCTGTCCCCCAGGTGTGCCAGGCATTGCTCAGGTGTCACCCACGGGGTGTTCCCTGTCCCCCAGGTGTGCCAGGCATTGCCCAGGTGTCACCCACGGGGTGTTCTCTGTCCCCCCAGGTGTGGTTCAGCAACCGGCGGGCGCGCTGGCGCAAGCAGGCAGGAGCCAACCAGCTGGCAGCCTTCAACCACCTGCTGCCGGGGGGCTTCCCGCCCACGGGAATGCCGGCGCTGCCCCCGTACCAGCTGCCCGAGTCCTCCTACCCCAGCACCACCATCTCCCAAGGTGAGCCCCCTGCTGCCCTCCCCCAGCTCCCCTGCGCCGGGCTGGGCGGTGTTTGAGGGCTTTGGGGTCCCTTCTGAACCACCCCGCGATTCTCTCCTTGGGCTGCCCTGGTCTGTGACACCCTTGGGAGCCTCTTGTGGGTTTTGTTCCCCTGCTGCCCTCCCCCAGCTCCCCTGCGCCGGGCTGGGCGGTGTTTGAGGGCTTTGGGGTCCCTTCTGAACCACCCCGTGATCCTCCCTTGGGCCACTCTGGTCTGTGACACCCTTGGAAGCCTCTTGTGGGTTTTGTTTAGTTGGGAAATTGGGGTTTTTCCTCAAGTGATTGGAAATTCCTCTGTTTTCCTCCATCCCACGTCCCTTTGGCTGTGTCCCCGTGTCCCGTGGCTGGAATTTTGGACGTGGAGCACATGGGGGTTGTGTGGGTGACCCCTCATTCTGGGTAAATCTCCATTCTGGGGTTCAGCAGCGGGAATATTCCCCTGGAAGGAATATTGTTAATTAGTTAGTTACCTCGTAAATTGGGGGTTTTGTGGGATTTACCTTATTCTGGGTAAATCTCCATTCCAGGAGATTTCAGCAGCGGGAATATTCCAGTGGAAGGAATATTGTTAATTAGTTACCTTGTAAATTGGGGATTTACCCAATTTATTATTTATTATTTACCCAAATTGTGTGGGATTTACCTCATTGTGGGCAAATCTCCGTTACAGGGTTCAGCAGTGGGAATATTCCAGTGGAAGGAATACTGTTAATTCCAGCTGCCTTGTAAACTGGGGACTGTGTGGGATTTACCTCATTCTGGGTAAATCTCTGTTCTGCGCAGGAATATTCCACTGGAATGAATATTGTTAATTCCAGCTGCCTTGAAAATTGGGGGTTGTGTGGGCGACCCCTCTTTGTGGGTAAATCTCCATTCCAGAGTTCAGCGGCAGGAATATTCCACTGGAAGGAATATTGTTAATTAGTTACCCTGTAAATTGGGGATTTACCCAATTTATTACTTACCCAAATTGTGTGGGTTTTACCTCATTCTGGGTAAATCTCTGTTCCGGGGTTCAGAAGCAGGAATATTCCTGGAAGGAATATTGTCAATTCCAGCTGCCTTTGGCCTTTCCCAAGGAATTCATGGCTTTTTTGGGGGGAGAAAACGAAGTCAAACCCCAGACTTTTGCCAAGCATGGAGCTGCTGGGTCCCAGGATGGCCAAGCTGCCATTCTTGGGTTTCCCAGGGGTTTCCTGGGGTCTCCTGGGGGTCTCCCAGGGGTTTCTTGGGGGTCTCCCAGGGTCTCCTGGGGTTTCCGGGGGGATCCCAGCCCGTTGGTGTCCGTGTGTCCCCGCAGACGGCGGCAGCACCGTGCACCGGCCGCAGCCGCTGCCGCCCTCCACCATGCACCAGGGCGGCCTGGCCGCCGCCGCCGACTCCGGCTCTGCCTACGGCGCCCGGCACAGCTTCTCCAGCTACTCCGAGAGCTTCATGAACGCCACAGCCCCCGCCAACCACATGAACCCCGTCAGCAACGGCCTCTCCCCGCAGGTAGGTGCCCGTTTCCAGCCTTCTCCGCGTTCCGCGAGCGCCGACGACTCCGGGACGTCGCGGCGAGCCGGCACCGCGGAGCGATGGTGGCTGCTGGGGTTGGTGGGGATGGGTTGGTGGTGGTGTGGTTGTTGTTGTGCTCAGGAATTGCTGCGGGGAGAGCAATTGGTTGGTTTGTTAATGAGCAGCAGCTCTGTGGTGAGCCCAGCGCTGGTCATTCCCACAGCCAGGTTGGGGTGAGGGGATCCCCAACACCTGGAGCGCCCCTCACCACCAGCCCGGAGCAGGGGGGCCCCTCCGGTGCTGGGTGTGACCCCAAGGGCAGCACACCTGAGGGTGGACTCCAGCTCATCCTGGGGGGCAGATTTAGGCACAACCTGGAGCTCCTCCAGGTCTGGCTGAGCTCAGAGGTGGAGATTTGGGGTTTGATTTGGGGAAACTCGTGCAGACAATGCTGCTGATCCTGCACGAGGCGTGGGTGAGCTGTGGAGGAGGAAAGGAGTCTCCAAGCTCACCTTTGTTATCAGGGGGAACTGAGAATGAGCAGCCAGGACTTGTCCTTATCCTGAGGGACACCAAATCCCCTTTTTTCCACTCTTGGTCACTCATGGGATATGGAGTCAAGTGAAGGGCAGCAGTTGTTTCAGAGGAATCAGTTTATTTAGGATGGGAAACCAAAATAATCTGGAATGAGGAGGAGAAACGAGGTGGGCACCTGGAATGGAACAGCTGCAGAGGTTTGGAGAGGAGTCCAACAAGCAGGGACACCGGGGGGGCGGAGGTTGAGGTGCAGCAGTCTGGGTGTGAAAACAAACACGGAGTGTCAGTGGAAAGAGGAAAACTTTGCAGCTTCTCTGGAATGGTTCAAACCCCACGCTTCTGGCTGTGAGTGGGAAAACCATGTTAAAATGTGACTGGCACGGGGTTGGATGGGAAAATACTGAAATGTGACTGGCACGGGTCTGGATGAGAAAATACTGAAATGTGATTGGCACAAGGCAGAATGGGAAAATATTGAAATGTAACTGGCGTGGGGCTGGATGAGAAAATATTAAAATATTGACTGGCACGGGGTTGGACGGGAAAATACTGAAATGTGCCTGGCATGGGGCTGGGTGGGAAAATATTGAAATGTGACTGGCATGGGGCTGGATAGTGCTCCAAACAGGGACATTTGTGGGGGAATAGGCAGATATCCCTCTGACAAGGGATTTCTGAGAGCACTGGGCTCAGGCTCAGAGGATACAGCCTGGGATTGAAAGACAGGCCTGGGTTAGCTGGGCCAGGGCCCGGGATTAACTCAGATGATCCCAAGTGCAATTTATCCCCACGGAATAAGGCGGGGATGAGATGCCTGGGATGAGCCCCAGGCGCAGAGAAGGCCATCCTGCAATTTCCATTTCCCTTCATCCTCTCCTGCCCAGTCCTGCAGAATCAGGGGCTCATTGAAAGGACCAGACCGTGGCTTTTCCTCTGCTTATCCCAATCCCAAATTCCCCTGCCCCCAGGCTCAGGCTGGGGACAGATATCCCTGAGCCCATAAGCCCTTTGTATGGGAAAGAGAGGATCCTTTATCTGGCAGGCCTGAAGAAAAGAGAGCTTTGCACCCCCAGGAAGGGGAGATTCCCATTTTCCCGACGCTTTTAATCATGTGAGGGCCAAGATATCGGTGTGGAAATTCGTCTGTTCCCTTTGTGTGCTGAGAGCCTAACCCAGGTTATTTCCCGGCTGCTTTACATTCCCTGATCAAAAAATTCCTTCCTTTCCAAGCCCTCTGCTGTTCCTAGTGGAGGGAGATGAGAAATGCTCCCAGCAGGATGAAGAACTCGTGGATTTGTCCTCTTCTAGGGAAGTTTTGGAGGGTCTCTTTCTGGGGTGCTCTGTGTGATTTATGAGTTGAGCTGAGCGCAATCCGGCTCTGCAGCGGCATTCCAGGGAAATCCCAGGAAAATTCCACCCTCCCACTGCCCGAGGTTCCTGTCTGCGGGGGAAGGACCAGCCAGAGGGAAAGAGGGGTTCAGGAGGGGGGAAAGAGAGGTTCAGGAGGGGGAAAGGGGTTCAGGAGAGGAGAAAGGGGGTTCAGGAGAAGGAAGAGAGGAAGTTCAGGAGGGAGGAAAGATGTGGTTCAGCAGGGGGGAAAGAGTGGGTTCAGGAGCGTGGAAAGAGGGGATTCAGGAGAGGAAAAAGAGGGGATTCAGGAGAGGAAAAAGAGGGGGTTCAGGAGAGGAAAAAGAGGGGGTTCAGGAGAGGAAAAAGAGGGGGTTCAGGTGGTGAAAAAGAGGGGGTTCAGGAGCGTGGAAAGAGGGGATTCAGGATGTTGGAAAAACCACGCTGGGAGCTGAGGGTGAGGGTGATTTGTCTCTGGCCGGGTTTCTCCTTTCCCCCGTGGCTGCAGCAGCAGCAGGAGAGGATTTCTTGGCACTTCAGACAAGGAGAGGGGCCTGGGAGCTCCCAGCTTTTGCTCCCTATCCAGTTACCCCGGGATTGGGTGTCCCAGCTGGAATCCACGGGCTGGGCTGGCAGCTGGAGCCCTGGAGGAGAAGCACGGCGTTCCCGTTCCCAAAGAGAAAATGGGGATTTGGAGTGGCCACTGCAGTGTTCCCAAACAGAAAATGGGGATTTGGAGTGGCCACTGCAGTGTTCCCAAACAGAAAAAGGGGATTTGGAATGGCCACTGCAGTATTCCCAAACAGAAAAAGGGGATTTGGAGTGGCCACTGCAGTGTTCCCAAACAGAAAATGGGGATTTGGAGTGGCCACTGCAGTGTTCCCAAACAGAAAAAGGGGATTTGGAGTGGCCACTGCAGTGTTCCCAAACAGAAAATGAGGGTTTGGAATGGCCACCGCGGTGTTCTCGTTCCCAAACAGAAAATGGGGATTTGGGATGGCCACTGCAGCGTTCCCATTCACAAACAGGGATTTGGGATGGCCACCTCAGTGTTCCCATTCCCAAACAGGGATTTGGGATGGGCACCTCAGTGTTCCCAGTCCCAAACAGAGATTTGGGATCTCGTTCCCAAACAGAAAATGGGGATTTGGGATGGCCACTGCAGCGTTCCCATTCACAAACAGAAAGTGGGGACTTTTTGTGTGGCAACTGTGGCATTCCCATTCCCAAAGAGAAAATGGGGATTTGGGATGGCCACCACATCGTTCCCAGTCCCAAATGGGGATTTGGGGTGGCCACTGCATCGTTCCCATTCCCAAACAGGGATTTGGGATGGCCACCACGTCCACCACGTTGTTCCCATTCCCAAACAGGGATTTGGGATGGCCACCACATCGTTCCCAGTCCCAAATGGGGATTTGGGGTGGCCACTGCATCGTTCCCATTCCCAAACAGGGATTTGGGATGGCCACCTCAGTGTTCCCAGTCCCAGACAGGGATTTGGGGTGGCCACTGCGGGTCCATCCCCGGCCGTGCTCCCTCTCGGGGCAGATCCTGCGGGAGCTCTGCCCAGGGCTCAGGCGGGATTGGTTTAGTCCCGGTTTTCCAGCCGTGCAAAGCCCAGCTCAGCTGCTGGAGCCCCCGGCTTTCCCAGGCTGTTCCGCCTCCATCCCAGAGCTCGGCTGGGAATTCTGGCTCCCACGACTTCACCCACAGCGATGGATTTTGTGACACTTTACCCGAAAACACCAGCTCGGCTGGGCTGAGCTGGTGGGGGGTTAAGCCCAGCTGGAAATTAAGCCTGACCCAGCTCCTTGTCCAGCACCCGTTTCTCACTTCCAGCCCTGGAATGGGGGGAAAAAAAAAAAAGTAAAAAAAAAAGTAAAAAACTTTGTGTGTTGAGATAAGGAGAGTTCAATAATTGAGAATGAAGTAAAATACAATTATAATTATAATAATGATAAAAATATAGAAATCTATTAATTTGTTATTTTTATGTATTACTTTTATCTTATTTTATTATTATATTTCTATATTTATTTATATTTATTATATAAGCATAACAATATATTAATACATTCATTCATTATATTCATTATATTTCTTTATTATTATATTGATATATTTATTTATAGTAATTAAATAATAATAGTAATAATAGTGATGATGATGATAATAATAGTAATAATAATAGTAATAATAATATTAATAATAATAATATTATTAATAATAATAATAATAATAATATTGGAAAGCCAAGTGCTGCTCACTGCAGTTGTTGGCCAATGCCAGACCCCCCAATCCCAGCCCCTTTCCAGGAACTGTCCCAGTTTGTGCCCAGGGAATGGGGACATCCCATGGTGTGGAAATCCCTTTGTCCCAGCTCGGGTCACCTGTCCCAGCTCTGCCCCCTCCCAGTTCCCTCTGGGACCCTCCCCAGTGGCAGAGCAGGAGATGAGGAGGGAAATAAAAATTCCTTGAGTGAGGCTGGGATGGACAGGACTCGGTGACCCCCGACCCACCGGGCTGTGCTAACCCCGTCCCCATCCCAGATCCCAAAGTCTGGGAGGGAATTGTCCCTTCCCAAGATGTGACCAGGAGAGAATCCCAGAGGATTAAAGCAGGACACAGAGTGGGGGCTCCCTGCCCCTTCCAGGACCTTGGGGAGAGACCCCAGGGTGACCCAGGCAGGGATTGGGATGGAGCAGGGACTGGGATGAAGCAGGGACTGGGATGGAGCAGGGATTGGGACAGGGCAGGGACTGGGATGGAGCAGGGATTGGGATGGAGCAGGGATTGGGATGGAGCAGGGACTGGGATGGAGCAGGGATTGTGCTGTCCCCAGCCCAGCTGGGCTGACCCAGAGCAGTCCCCAGCTCAGTTAAACTGGCCCAGAGCTGTCCCCTGCCTGGCCGGGATCCCATAAACGCCCCACAAATATTCCCAGATTTCCATCCCAGAGGAATCATTCCCAGTTCTTTGGGAATCCCACCGAGCTCCCAGAGAACAAGGCCAGGTCCCAGACACCCCGAGCCAGGCCTGGCCTCACCCTGGCAGAAAAACAAACCCTGCACCAGCTGGGGCTCAGACCCAGCTTAACTTAGGCCATACCT